TACTGCTACGCACGCGGATTGGCATATATTCTCCACGCTAGCGTTGCAATATATATATAATATATATATATATATATATATATATATACCTATCAGGAGCGTATAATGACAAATTGTATAATGAGCGTATTATGAGCGTATTATGAGCGTACAATGAGCGTATAATGAGCGTATTTGTCATTATACGCTCCTGATACCTATCTATCTATCTATTTATCTATCTATTCGATATTCGTGAACACCTTGTATAAAAACGTAGAAATACTTACTTACTATCTATCTATACTTTCTATATTCAACCAAACTGATTTATTTTGTTTTGTTGGTTGCATGCACGCCGAATACAATCCGTACCTGTCCCCATTTCACAGGAATCAAATTTGTCCGTGATAATAAAGTGGATCGTAAAACAACGAGACGCTTCATCCGATGTTTTGAAGCTACGCACGCGTGACTTTCACGCACCTATTTGATTTCATACAAGTGAATTGCACACAATTGCACGCAATAAGCAGCTAGGCTAATACATAATAATAGGCTGTACATTTATCCAGGTATTCTACTTTTGTTTTAAAATAGCAATAAGTAGTTAGTAGTTTCGTTTTTAGTTAGTTATTAGCTGTTTATTAAATATAAAGTCTATTATTTACTAGACTCTACGGGTATTTTGCGTTATTGCACAAACTTCGCCCCAAGGGGCCACACCAGGTTAGGCCTTATATACAAGGTGCATCAATCCTCCGTAACCAGCACATTTGCGTTTTTATCGGCAAGATGTTGAGTCATTACTGTTCATTGTTTAGTCGTACGTTATTATGTCGTTTCCCCTTACAGTAATTAACGACGTGATTAAGGTAAAACTTGCATGTCGTCAACACCTCGTACAAGATTGACTACTCATTTCTGCTCTCGATTAAACAAGTTCCATGTTTTGCTGAATTGTCAGAATAATTAGACAAGTATTTTAATTACATAGTAGGGGGGGGAGGTTGGGCAGAGTTTTTATCGCAATGCAATATATATGTATAAAAATACAATTCCAATGGGCTAAAATTTGAATGGAATCCCTGCTTTCCCGTTTAAAGTGATGGTCCTTGTTTTATGTGATATTCTTTCATATCCAACCGCATTCTATACGTTCGTTTCACGCATCGGTACATTAAACTGTTAATTCTATCAACTTCAATCGATACAATTATTATGGTAGATACACGCAGCGGCTCCGATCATCTACGCTTTCACATGAAAGATGCCCCTCGAGGGTTATGAATCGGAGATAGATGACTTCCAATCTGACGATGCCACATGGGTCCTGGCTAGTACCTTCATAATTTTCACGATGCAGTCCGGTACGTACCATATTTACTCGTGTATAACTATTAAGAGGCACTTTTTTTACACAACGTCAATAAAACAATCAGGGGTGCGACTTATACACGAGGATAAGAAATCTTGTTAATGTACCAATGTTTGTACCAACTTTTCAATGCAAAATATGGGATGCGACATATACATACATACATACATACATACACATACATACATACATACATACATACATACATACATACATACATACATACATACATACATACATACATACATACATACATACATACATACATACATACATACATACATACATACATACATACATA